AAAAATACAAAAAGAAGTGCAAGTGAAATGAAAAAGTGAAAGAAAGAAAGAAAAATCAGCAAAGAAAATAAAAGCACTCAAAAGAAGAAATTGAAAGCACTAAAAAGAAGAAAAAGAAAGAAAGAAAAGTTGGAAGCACTCATCAACAATTCTCATCACCAAGCCATTCAAGTAAGCCTTTAAATTTGATTGTGGTGATAGAAGGTTGTAAAGTGACTTGTGTAAGTAAACCCTTTGTTTCTCTTCTTTCTATTTTTCTAAGCCACCCTTTCATTATATTTTATTTTCCATTCCTACTAACCCATTTGCAGCCGATGCCAAACAAGTAAAATTTACTCGATATAGTCTTGAGTAAAAGTTTTCTAGAAGTTGAGACAAGAGAATTAAAAGGAAAAAGATTGGAGCGTGTGTAAGATCAGAAGAGGATAAGTAAAAGCCATTAAAATCCTAGAGTGCAAACACGAGTGGATTGAGTGACATCAAGTTTTCTTGGAGTGATTCGTGAGGCATTGTGAGAATATATTCTGGTAAGGTCTTTTACACATCTTATTCTTTTCTTATTTGCTAACCATGTCTCGAAGTTCAGGACGATCACCAGAAAGAGAAGCCCCTAACTTGCAAACGCAAGCCATTATGCATGAAATGGCAAGATTGCAAAAATTAGAATTGGAGCCTTTGCAAGATCGTATGGATCAATTAGAAGCATCCTTAGGCAACCGGAGAGTGAACCGCCCTAGAATGGAAGAAGAATTAGAAGAGGAGGAGGCTGAAGTAACATCCGTAGCAAGAAGAGATGCTCACAGAAATCAGAATGACAACTTCAGCAACATCAAGGTGACCATTCCTCCATTTCAAGGACGAACGGATCCTGAAGCCTATCTGGACTGGGTAATCAAAATCGAACACATTTTCGATTGTCAAAATTATATGGAACAAAAGAAGGTCAGGCTTGCTGCTACGGAATTCGTGGACTATGCCTTAGTTTGGTGGAACCAATTGGTAAGTTCAAGAAGACGAAATGGTGAACGCTCCATCACTACATGGGAAGAAATGAAAGCATTATGAGGAAAAGGTTCGTGCCTACTCACTATCACCGAGATCTTTATCATAAACTACAAAATTTGAAACAAGGAAGCAAGAGCGTTGAAGATTATTTCAAAGAAATGGAGATAGCCATGATCCGAGCCAATGTGGATGAAGATAGAGAAGCAACAATGGCAAGGTTCTTATCTGGCCTAAATCTTGATATTGCTAACCTTGTTGAACTTCAGAATTATGTAGAGATTGAAAAGATGGTGTATGTGGCCATGAAAATTGAAAGACAACTCAAAAAGAAATCCTACACTAGGAGCAATCCAAATTCGGCCAACAAATGGAAGCAAGAACCTATTACTTTCCAGAAGCAAACTCCAGTCCAAACAAAGGATCGTGAAGAGGTACCTAAAACTATACAAGTGGACGAGTTTAGTAAGGGTAAAGAAAAGCAAACCAGCACTTTCGAGAGAACAAGAGACATCAAATGTTTCAAGTGTTTTGGAAAAGGACATGTTGCTAGTCAATGTCCCAACTGAAATGCCATGATGGTACTTGACAATGGAGATATTATATCGGATTCTGACGAGCCTATTTTTGATGAGGAACCTAAAATAATGCAAGACAAAGAAACTGAAGAAAACGCAGATCAAGGTGAGATGCTTGTTTCGAAAAGGTGCCTACAATCACAAACATCCCAAGAGGATATTCAAAGAAACAATATTTTCGATGCCATGTCAAGGACAAGGTTTGCACAGTGATCATCGATGGAGGAAGTTGCACAAACGTAGCAAGCACTCTTATGGTTGAAAAACTTGGATTGGCAATGTCAAAGGATCCTACTCCATATAAACTCCAATGGCTTAATGAAGGAGGTGAGTTAAATGTTACCAAACAAGTTCTAATTCCTTTTTCAGTTGGAAGGTACAAGGACGAGGTGCTTTGTGACATTGTCCCTATGCATGCTAGCAACATTCTACTTGGGAGACCATGGCAGTATGACAAAAGGGCCATTCATGATTGTTTTCACAATCAATACACTTTTAAGCATGATGGACGCAAGGTGACCTTGATGCCTTTAACGCCTAAAGAAGTACAACAAGATCAATTGCATATGCGAAAGAGGGTTCAAGCATGGTGCAAAGACAAAACCCCAACGAAAAATGAAGAGGAACTAAACAAGAAACCAAAATTCTTCATAAAGAAACATGATGGTTCAATTCTGTTAAATGAAGGGTCTCCTACGAAAGGTGGTGATGATTGGGACTTAAAGTCACAACTCTTCACCAATGGTTTTAATCTTCAAAAGGTAAGTACCCTTTCATATGAAACCTCACTTTTCAGGACCAACCACGTGAAAGGTCACTTCTGTTGTGATCACGCCCACATCAGATCCCGAAGTCATGCCACAGGGTCCCATTACCAGATCGAGGGCCAAACAATTCAGGGAAGTACTCCTAACTAAGTGTCTTGAAACTTTTTATTCATTTAATAACTTGACACCCTCCTACGTGAAGTTATATAATGTATTAACAGTTAATAACTTAGTATGAGTGTTTCATGCATATAGTTATACTAGCATTGCATATTTTAATATTAAGCATGCATACATTCATGGGGTTCATAACAGCATGTTCATCATTTTTTTTGCATAACAGCATGTTCATCATTTGTTTTGCATAACAGCATATTTATCATTTGTTTTGTTAAATTTACGTGCACTCACATTCACATAACAGCATGTTCATCATTTGTTATGCATTCAAGCATGTTTCAATAACAGCATCATTTTCATAATTACCACTCATGTGCACTCATTTTAGTTTTAAGATTTAATTATTTTTAGTTATTATATCATGCATGTTAGCTCATAATAACATATACATGCACAGCAGCAAGGTATTTGATTCATTCCAGTGGACAGTTCACGTCACTTATATTTATCACCAGTTTTCAACATGTTACAAGCATAATTGGGAGATGAAGTCTCTTAGAATTTAATCCCCTATCTCTTATCTTTCCAACACATTTTGAATCGTGTCAAACCGATACTGAAAGCTTGAGATATTCACAGATTACCGAAGACAGTACAGGCTGGAAATAAATACTGGATTTACAACTAAATTAATCATTCCAGCTCATTTCCTTTTATTTATCTTGTTTTCTTTGTACATAAAGGCATGTTGGAGCATTATAAAGAAGCACACCAATCAGTAGAGTATGGGATATGAAGATATCAATCTGTTCAAGCATTTTGGAGGCTGACGCACATGCTGGACAGTTTTAGCACTTGGAAAACACACAGCTCACAAAAGTATGATACACGTATGAAACAGCCTGGATAAGAATTATTAAGACATAAACAAGTCCTTGGATCATGAAACACGTTGGAAGACACAAGACAGCTTTTCCAGATTCCATAATACACACCCATGCTGCACATTCCAGCTTTGTCTTCTTTTAATAAGCCCATACTTGATGACTAGATATCCACTCACAAATGTTGGATGAAGACCATTCACGTCATAAATGCTGGACATATTCAGCATTTATTTTACACAAGACTACAATAGTCTTTAAACAAGCCATGTGCGCACAATCCAGCAAATAACGTGAAGCTCTATTGGAATAAGTTTGAAGATACGTGGCCATGAAGAGTTGTCTCCATTTTACACCGAATCATCACCTGAATTCATGGAAGATTATGAACTGGAATTTGTCATTTTGTGAGATGTAATAGCTGGCCAAAAACACTATGTGTTATTCGGCTAAGTGTTTCAAACATATTAAATAAGCCATGTAATTTGATTTTGAAAGCAGAATTTTATGAATTAAAATATTGTGAGATTTTCTCTCAAATTGGTTCTTCTTAGAACTATCTTCTTGACATTTCAAGTCTGATCTTGTTGTGTCAATCCTTTGATACTTTGGGTTCTTAGATTGCTATCTAACGGGTCCAAGTCCTTGAACATTGAACATATAAGGTTCGGGTTTATACTTGTTAGTATAGGTTCTTCCTTGTTCTTTGTTATTATCCAATTTCCAGCATCCTAAATTCCATTACCACATCTATCATTCATCTTTCCTTAATCAATTTCGTTCATAGCCATATCCATATAACTCCACCATCTTCATTACTATCAAGTAATTTTGCTGTAGAGGAATTGCTTACTTCGTTCTATATCCGGTACAATCGAAGAGAACCTCAATCGACGGGCTGACTCGTATCATATGGTAATCAGAGCAAAGGTGAACCAAGTAAGAAATTCATCTTAAAAAAAAAGAATTCCGAAAATTAAAAAAAATGAATTCTGAAAATTAAAAAAAGAAAAGTTCTGGTCTTGAGACGAAGAGAAATGCTATGATGTTGTGTTCTTCAATATTGAAATGCTTTGAGCTTTGATTCAATCCAAAACGCAACATCTTTGATTGTATTGGGGATAGTCTCGTTGTAAGCATTTCTTTGTAGTAAGTTTACTAATTATTTTCATCTTCCTTTCTTTATTTTCCTTTGAATTTTTAGCCTTCCTTTCATTATTTTCTAGTTTCTTTTAATCTTTATTGTTTCCTATAGCCGACACACTTGACAGATTTTTGAAAGATCGAATTTAGTTCGTAAAAGAACTGACTACGAGGGAACGAGTGGAAAAGGCACATTGAGTGTGTGAGATCAGAAGGGGAGATAGAAAAGAGCCATTAAAAGTTTCTCCCGAGTGAAACACGAGTGTTGAGTGATTGAGTGTCAATTCTGATTTATTTGGAGCGAAATTGTGAGAATCTTTGTGTGTATATTGTAAGGACCTATATACATTAATTATTTTCTTTGTGTTGTTTTGTTTTATTTGATTAATATGGCAGGTTCTAGTGATAACCATCCGGGTGACCAACCACCAAATTTGCAAATGCAAGCCATTACACGTGAGATAGAAAGGATGATAAGAGCTAAACTTGAGATTCTACATTCTAGAATGGATAAGATTGAAGGAGAATCCCAAACGCATCATAATGAAGATATTAATGATGAAAACGAAATTGACCAACCTCCAAGACCAAATCAGAGACATGGACGTACACTTGATGATAATTTGGCTAACATAAAAGTTGCGATTCCATCTTTTCAGGGACAAACAGATCCCGATGCATATTTGGCATGGGAGAGTAAAGTTGAGCATGTTTTTGAGTTTTATAATTACTAGGAACAAAAGAAGGTTCGTTTGGCAGCAATGGAGTTTGTTGATTACGCTCTCATTTGGTGGGATCAATTGCTGATACGTAGACGAAGAATCGGTGAGGGTCCAGTGAAGACGTGGACAGAAATGAAGCGAATCATGAGGAAACAGTTTGTTCCATTTCATTATCAACGTGATTTATTTCAGAAGTTACAAAACTTGAAACAGGATAATCGAAGTGTTGAAGATTATTTCAAGGAAATAGAAATGGCCATGATGCGTGCAAACATGGAGGAAGATAGAGAAGCAACTATGGCACGTTTTCTTGCTGGGTTGAATTTTGAAATTGCTAACGTTGTTGAGTTACAACATTATGTCGAGTTGGATGACATGGTGCATATGGCCATCAAAATTGAAAGACAATAGCATAGAAAGTCTTCTTACCGAGGTAATACTCCTTCTAAAGTTTCCTTTAATCCATATGTTACTCCTAATAATGCTAGGAAGCAATCACCATTTAAGATTAAGGAAAGAGCGGAAACGAGTAGTCCAAAACCTCCCATTGTTGAAAATGGACGTGGAAAGCAACAGAGACAAACAGAATGCACAAAAGACATCCAATGTTTCAAATGCCTTGGTAGAGGGCATGTTGCAAGTCAGTGTCCTAACCGAAGGATAATGATGACACATGTGAATGGGGAAATAGAGTCTGAATCTGACAATGATGAGCAAGACACCCCCTTGGTGGGCGATGATGAAGATGATGACCAAGTACAGACTTATGCAATTGGTGAAGCACTTGTGGTTAAAAGAAGCTTGAATGCACAACCAATTCGAGATGAGCTGCAGCGTGAGAACATCTTTCACACAAGATGTCTTGTGAATGATAAGGTATGTGTTGTGATTATTGATAGTGGTAGTTGTACTAACGTTGCAAGTAGTGTTATGGTTGACAAACTAGGATTGAAAACGACAAAGCATCCCAATCCATACAAGCTACAGTGGTTGAATGATGCTGGAGAGTTAAGGGTCACTAAACAAGTCCTTGGTACCATTTTCCATTGGAAAATACAAGGATGAAGTGATATGTGACGTTGTGTCGATGGATGCCACCCATTTGTTGTTAGGACGTCCGTGGCAATTTGACAAAAAGGTGATGCATGATGGTTTCACAAATAGATATTCTTTTATGAATGTAGGAAAGCAAATCACCTTAGTACCTTTGACACCCAGTCAAGTGCAAGAAGACCAAGTCCGTTTGAAAAAGAACAGTGAAGAAGCAAAAGGGAAGAAGAAGATAAACGTGTATGCAAGTAGAAAAGAGATCAGGAAATGTCTTTCCTCTCAACAATCTTTACTCATTTTAATGTATAAAGAGCATTGTTTGTTGGCTGAAATTCCCCCTGATTTGCCTATGTCTATTGCATCTCTTTTGCAAGATTTTGAAGATGTTTTTCCTGAAGAAATTCCAGATGGATTACCACCAATTAGAGGAATTGAACATCAAATTGATTTCATCCCTGGAGCTACCATTTCAAATAGACTAGCCTACCGGAGAAATCCTGAGGAAACAAAGGAGTTACAGAAACAAGTCAAAGAGCTGTTAAACATTTAAGAATTATTCTAAGCACTTTAAGAGGAGAGCATTTATATGCTAATCTTAAAAAGCGTACTTTTTGTACTGACCAAGTTACCTTCTTAGGTTTCATTGTTAGTTCACAGGGACTAGCAGTTGATCCAGAAAAGATTAAGGTAATTCAAGAATTGCCAGAACCAGTCAACATAAGTCAAGTTCGTAGCTTTCATGGGTTAGCCAGTTTTTACAGAAGGTTTGTACCAAACTTTAGTACAATTGCCGCCCCCTTAACCGGGATTATTAAGAAGAATTCAAACTTCTGTTGGGGCAAAGAACAAGATGAAGCATTTAAGGAACTCAAGGATTATTTGACAAAGGCTCCCCTATTAGCCTTGCCAAACTTTGAGAAGACATTTGAAGTTGAATGTGACGCCTCCGGGATTGGGATTGGTGCTGTTTTGAGTCAAGAAGGAAAACCAATCGCTTACTTTAGCGAAAAGCTAAATGGTGCAACCTTGAATTATCTAGTATATGACAAAGAGATGTATGCACTCATTCGAACATTAGAGACTTGGCAGCACTACTTATTGCCAAGGGAGTTCGTAATACACACTGATCATGAAGCGTTAAAACACATCAAGGGACAACACAAGCTCAACAAGAGACATGCCAAATGGGTCGAATTCCTTGAATCATTCCCCTATGTCATCCTCTATAATAGAGGAAAGGATAATATTGTGGCAGATGCTCTTTCACGCAGGTATACTACTTAACACTTTGGATTCCAAAGTCCTTGGTTTTTCATTTATTAAAGAACATTATGCTACTGATTTGGACTTTGGAGAGAGATATAAGTTATGTGAAACAGGTGCTCATGAAAAATATTATCAGCATGATGGTTATCTTTTCAAGGAAGGTAGGCTTTGTATTCCACAAGGATCCATGCGAGAAGTGTTAACCAAAGAAGCACATGAAGGGGGACTTATGGGACACTTTGGCGTTGAAAAGACACTTAGCATCTTGAAAGAACACCTCTTTTGGCCAAAGATGAAAAGGTATATTGAAAAGGTATGTGAAAGGTGTTTAGTATGTAAAAGGGCAAAATCAAAAGTCAAGCCTCATGGGTTATACCAACCATTGCCAATACCAACCATACCATGGGTAGACGTCTCTATGGATTTTGTTTTAGGTTTACCTCGAACCAAAAATGGAAAGGATGCGATATATGTGGTGGTTAACCGATTTTCCAAGATGGCTCATTTTATACCCTGTAACAAAACCGATGATACTATTCACGTTGCAAACTTATTCTTCAAAGAAGTGGTAAGGTTACATGGACTTCCTCGAACCATTGTCTCAGATAGAGATGTCAAATTTTTGAGCCACTTTTAGAGGACTTTGTTGGGTAAGATTGGCACGAAGCTACTCTTTTCTACTACTTGTCATCCTCAAACGGATGGGCAAACAGAAGTCGTCAATAGAGTCTTGTCAACATTACTCAGATCGATAATCACAAAGAACATCAAGACTTGGGAGGAATGTCTACCACACGTGGAGTTTGCATATAATTGAACCAAACATTCGGTGACAAAATTTTCTCCATTTGAGGTAGTGTATGGTTTCAATCCCTTAACTCCTTTGGACTAACCTCCTTTACCTTGTGATCAAATAGTGAACAAAGATGGAAAGGACAAGGCAGAATTTGTTAAGAAACTCCATCAACAAGTCAAGGACAATATTGAAAGAAGAACTAGACAATATTAAAAGAACTAGACAATATGAGCAGCAAGCAAACAAAGGAAGGAAAAAGGTAACTTTTGAAGTAGGAGATTGGGTTTGGGTACACTTCAGGAAGGAGAGGTTTCCAAATCAAAGAAGATCCAAATTATTACCTCGAGGAGATGGCCCATTCCAGATTGTGGAAAAGATCAATGAAAATGCTTATAAACTAGAGTTGCCCGGTGAGTTTGGTGGTGTTAGTGCTTCGTTCAACATTGCAGACTTAACACCCTTTGAGGATGGAGACGATTTGGGAACAAATCGCTTTAAAGAAGGGGGTTGATGTGATCACGCCCACATCAGATCCCGAAGTCATGCCACAGGGTCCCATTACCAGATCGAGGGCCAAACAATTCAGGGAAGTACTCCTAACTAAGTGTCTTGAAACTTTTGATTCATTTAATAACTTGACACCCTCCGACGTTAAGTTATATAATGTATTAATAGTTAATAACTTAGTATGAGTGTTTCATGCATATAGTTATACTAGCATTGCATATTTTAATATTAAGCATGCATACATTCGTGGGGTTCATAACAGCATGTTCATCATTTGTTTTGCATAACATCAGGTTCATCATTTGTTTTGCATAACAGCATATTTATCATTTGTTTTGTTAAATTTACGTGCACTCACATTCACATAACAGCATGTTCATCATTTGTTATGCATTCAAGCATGTTTCAATAACAGCATCATTTTCATAATTACCACTCATGTGTACTCATTTTAGTTTTAAGATTTAATTATTTTTAGTTATTATATCATGCATGTTAGCTCATAATAACATATACATGCACAGTAGCAAGGTATTTGATTCATTCCAGTGGACAGTTCACGTCACTTATATTTATCACCAGTTTTGAACATGTTACAAGCATAATTGGGAGATGAAGTCTCTTAGAATTTAATCCCCTATCTTATCTTTCCAACGCATTTTGAATCGTGTCAAACTAATACTGGAAGCTTGAGATATTCACAGATTACCGAAGACAGTACAGGCTGGAAATAAATACAGGATTTACAACTAAATTAATCATTCCAGCTCATTTCCTTTTATTTATCTTGTTTTCTTTGCACATGAAGGCATGTTGGAGCATTATAAAGAAGCACACCAATCAGTAGAGTATGGGACATGAAGATATCAATCTGTTTAAGCATGTTGGAGGCTGACGCACATGCTGGACAGTTTTGAGCACTTGGAAAACACACAGCTCACAAAAGTATGGAAATAAAGTTATGGGAACATGATACACGTATGAAACAGCCTGGATAAGAATTATAAAGACATAAACAAGTCCTTGGATCATGAAACACGTTGGAAGACACAAGACAGCTTTTCCAGATTCCATAATACACACCCATGCTGCACATTCCAGCTTTGTCTTCTTTTAATAAGCCCATACTTGATGACTAGATATCCACTCATAAATGTTGGATGAAGACCATTCACGCCATAAATGCTGGACATATTCAGCATTTATTTTACACAAGACTACAATAGTATTTAAACAAGCCATGTGCGCACAATCCAGCAAATAACGTGAAGCTTTATTGGAATCAGCTTGAAGATACGTGGCCATGAAGAGTTGTCTCCATTTTACACCGAATCATCACCTGAATTCATGGAAGATTATGAACTGGAATTTGTCATTTTGTGAGACGTAATAGCTGGCCAAAAACACTATGTGTTATTTGGCTAAGTGTTTCAAACATATTAAATAAGCCATGTAATTTGATTTTGAAAGCAGAATTTTATGAATTAAAACTATTGTGAGATTTTCTCTCAAATTGGTTCTTCTTAGAACTATCTTCTTGACATTTCAAGTCTGATCTTGTTGTGTCAATCCTTTGATACTTTGGGTTCTTAGATTGCTATCTAACGGGTCCAAGTCCTTGAACATTGAACATATAAGGTTCGGGTTTATACTTGTTAGTATAGGTTCTTAATTGTTCTTTGTTATTATCCAATTTCCAGCATCCTAAATTCCATTACCACATCTATCATTCATCTTTCCTTAATCAATTTCATTCATAGCCATATCCATATAACACCACCATCTTCATTACTATCAAGTAATTTTGCTGTAGAGGAATTGCTTACTTCGTTCTAGATCCGGTACAATCGAAGAGGTCCTCAATCGACGGGCTGACTCATATCAACTTCCAAAAGAGATAACCTTAAAAAAGATCACTCCCAAAGGGTACCTGTTGGTAAATCATATTCCAAAGAAAGGCTGATGTAAGGTAATTCTACCTTCTCGTTTGATTATGGATCTAGGAAGAAAGTAAAACAGCCTGCACAAGTGAATGGCTCAAAACAGAATGGATAAGGGTGGTAAGTGTATGGTTTAATAGGTAGGCTATTTAATAAGTGAGAGATGGAAGCGGAAGATGATTGAAATGGTTATGGTTATGGCGATGAAACAAAAGGATGGTTGTGAGGATAGTATCTTGAAGAATGCTCAAAGAAGAACCAATGCTATAGAGAGCAAAGACCCAATCTTTATATTGTTTCTTCAAGGGGTGGTGTTAAGTACTTTGACCCACTAGTTATATGAACTAGGAACCAGAAGTATCAAGATAAAAGAAGAGGGTTGATACCACAAGTATAAATTATACTTGATAAGTCGATAAAAGTCACCAGGACTTAAGGAAGAGAATAATTTCACTTTAATTAAACAAAAGGTCTGCTTACAAATGATGAATGCTTTCCTATTTATAGGAAATGGAGGGGCATAGCCGAATAGAGACATAATGGTTCGGCCAGCCCATGTATCTCCCTATAAAGACATAATTTAAATGCTAAAAGAGATTATGGTTCGTCCCTTGATGGAGGGAAATGATCCTTGGCCGATGATGTAAGGTAATTCTACCTTCTCGTTTGATTGTGGATCTAGGAAGGAAGCAAAACAACCTGCACAAGTGAATGGCTCAAAACAGAATGAATAAGGGTGGTAAACGTATGGTTTAATAGGTAGGCTATTTAATAAATGAGAGATGGAAGCGGAAGATGATTGAAATGGTTATGGTTATGGCGATGAAACAAAAGGATGGTTGTGAGGATAGTATCTTGAAGAACGCTCAAAGAAGAACCAATGCTATAGAGAGCAAAGACCCAATCTTTATATTGTTTCTTCAAGGGGTGGTGTTAAGTACTTTGACCCACTAGTTATATGAACTAGGAACCAGAAGTATCAAGATGAAAGAAGAGGGTTGATGCCACAAGTATAAAATACTTGATAAGTCGATAAAAAGT